CTCCGGGAAACCCCCAGGGATTTGCCACCCTAAACCCTAAACCGCCTACGTTAGACTGTCACTCTTCTTCGGTGGTGAATTTCCCAGCCCTGGCTACCGGAAGCTGGGTTTAGGGTTTAGGGGCTAAGATCCCGACTTCCGACGCACCTCCTGCTCCTCTTTCTGCCTCCTGGGTTTGGGCTTTCGGGTTTGCAGCTTCGCTGTGGGAGGTTTAGGGTTTAGGGTTCAATGGCAAGACGTGTGCATTGGATTGAGAGATGCCCCTGCACTCTGACGGCGATAACTCCGCAAACTTGGAAACACTCGTCCTGTACCCTGAACTCTTCGGATCCCTCTTGCACAAAACGCAAAACACGAAACGGATCGAAACCGCTCATCCGCCACACACCCGGCGCTTTGAACTCCACGGTCTCTGGTGCCACCCAGAATGTCGGAAACGCACTCACCAGCATCAGCCCATGTCAATGACAGTTGCACACAGCGTGCGGCCTCTGACGCTCTTGCTGCTCCCTCCGCCGCTGATCCTCTGACGGTACATCGACTTGACGTACGGCTTTGAGCTCGGAAACTTGATAACATGCGAGGCACTCACAACGCCAGGCTATGTGGGAAGCATGCATGCTGCAGAGATCTCGAGCAGCAAGGGCAAGGAGAACCCCAATTCTGAAAGCTCGACATCCAAAAAAATCGGATGGCCCTCCTCCTCCTTCCTTCTTGCTTCAGCCTCCTCTGCACACACTGGAGTCCGGAAAGAGGGGTTGTAACCTAAACCTTCCTAAACTCTTAACCCAAAGCGTGGATGGCAGGGTTTGAGCGTTGGAGTGTTCAGCCTACGTCTTCCTACTGCTTTGGAACCATGGAATTTGGATTTAAATCGTCAGAACATATTCTTTGGCAAGTGGCAAGAAGATGCGACAGTCGCGATATGCAAGACAAGAGCCGGCGGCCAGACAGTTACAACCGGAGAAGCACCACCGCGCCTTCTTTTGCTGTTCGAGCTCCTGCTGCTTCACCTAGTCTCGCTTTGAGGACCAACGCGGGGCAACCGGGAGGTGATCGAAACCCTAAACCCCAAACCCTAAACCCTCAACCCTAAACCCTTACAGAAAAAATCACTACACTGCTCCTTCGGACAGGGAACGCCTCCCTCAGGCCCTCCCAAACCCGAGAAGCAGTCCATCCCCGCTCCAGTGGCTTGGGATTTGGAGTGTAGAGTGTAGACTCTTGGGGTTTAGGGTTTAGGGTTTAGGGTTTAGGGTTTAGGGTTTAGGTTGGAGTGGGGCTTTCAGGTTCGAGTTTTCGCCACGACTGGTGCATGCTGCCTCTACAATGCTTCTAGTAGGAGCCCCAAGGTTGGCAACCCAATAGCCTCAACCCCGAAGAGCAATGCATAACAGCCCTTATAAAGGAACCCTTAAAGGAGCCCCCTAGAGGAGT